TAGAAGACATTTTTTTTTCTTCTATATGGATTGGACTTATATTAACAATGGATCTTCTTTACGCTGTCCACTATTGCACAAAATATGGCCCAAGATTGCTGGGTATTCTTAGTCACCCTGTTTCGCTTCATATTTTGGGCTGGTGGGCCTTCAATAGATCCAAAAGTTTTTCAGTCATTGTGACATTAATATCTTCAATTGCAAAGTGGCATGAGTTGAGTTATGATTATTTTTTTTCAGAGAGTTGAGTAGAGTTTGTTGGGTTTAATTGTAATTTTGCAAAAATTCTATTGAGTAAAGTATTATCGTATACAAATTATAACTAAATTAATGTTAATAAAAGTTTGTCAAATTCAAATTATAATCACAAAATGTTTACTTTAGAAACAAGTTTGAAACTTTGATTTTCACGTAAAATTAGATTCCAACCTTGAATCTAAATTAAGGAATGTTTAATTTAAAATTAAGTTTTAAACTTTAATTTTCACATAGAATCGAGTTCTAATCTTAAATCTAAATTTGAGAATGTTTACTTTAAAAACATTCTTAAATCTAAATTCTATTAAGTTTGAACGTATATAAATTCTAACTAAATTAATGTTAATAAAAGTTTATCAAATTCAAATTATAATCACAAAATGTTTATTTTAGAAACAAGTTTGAAAAATCCAACCTTAAATCTAAATTTAGGAATGTTTACTTTAAAAATAAGTTTAAAACTTTAGTTTTCACATAGAATCGAGTTCCAACCTTAAATCTAAATTTAAAAATGTTTACTTTAAAAATAAATTTTAAATTTTAAATTTAACATAGAATCAGGTTCTAATCTTAAACTTAAATTTACGAATATTTACTTTAAAAACAAGTTAAAAACTTCAATTTTCACATAGAATAGAGTTCCAACCTTAAATCTAAATCCGAAGTGAAATACTACTACGAAGTACCAAATGTTTGCTAGGTGGATATCCTCGCCTGGTATAAAAACTATCCATTTTCCTCGCCAGACATCCCAGCAGAATCAAAGAGACAATCAGGTTGAACCATGGCTTGGATTACACGATTCTTAGCTGCGGTGGCTTTCTTAGCCGTCGGAGTGATTTTCTCGCCGGAGACCTTCGGGTCCAACGGCGATGGCTCGCTGAAGCTGTCGACCTACTTGAAGCTTGCTCATCTCCTTAGCTTCTCCACGGCTTGGGGAGCTGCTCTCTGGGTCACCTTCATTGCCACCACCATCATGTTCAAGTATGCGCATATATTTCTCTCCCCATGTCACTAATGTTATTTTTGTTGGGCTAAAATATGTGATTAGCTTTTCACCTTGTTACATTTGAAATTTTTTTTTTTATTTTATAAAATCATTAACTTTTAAATTTAAAATTTTAAAGATTTTAACTCTTACACTAACAAAATCGATAAGCTTTTAGAATAAAATATTTATAAAATCAAAATTTAAAATTTTAAAATATAATAATTTAGTTCCAAAAATTTAAAAATTAAAAAAACAATAAAGTCAAAGGAATTAATAAATGACTTTATTACATACACTAGAACAATATTAAATATCTATAATCAAATTGAGTTAATAGGTTAATTTGAAGAAAGAATTCTAATTGAGTTTAAAAAAAAAATTAACCAAATTAAGATAGAAAGTTTAAGAGACTAGAAGAATATAGTTAAAAAAAAAATTTAATCTCAATCAAATTTGTTTTTTTAGATTGAGTTAATTACTTAATTTGATTGTAGATATGTAATACTGTTTTCATATATATGGTAAAGTCATTGACTAATTATTTTTAATTTACTAATCTTTTTAATTTTTAAGCTTTTGGAACTAAATTATTACATTTTTAATTTTTGGAAATTGATTTTATAAATATTTTATTCTCACTTTAACAAAAGTTAATAGATTCTATTAGTTTTGGGGATAAAATCTTTAAATTTTTAAGTTTAGGAGCTAAAAACTTTGAAATGAATGTTTAAAAACTCTACGCTTATTAAGGTAAAAGGTTAAATGCATACTTTAACCTTTTTTGTTGACTAATTTTGCCTTAGAAGTTTAGATTTTTAAATTGATAATTAGAAGCTTAATTATGAATTAACCCTAGCCTCGATGCTCAATTAGGCGCTTATTTGCCCATTTTAAGTAATGGGTTGTTGTTAATTCGGAAAATTTGAAATAAGTCTTCGGTGAAATTAGGAATTTACCAAGGCATCGGTTTGGAAATCTGCAAAGCAAGATGTTTCCAGCCTATTTCACTATGTTAGGAATCTGTTGTTCCATTTCTATGGCGTCATTTGGTTTTCTGCACCCATGGAAGTCTTCGTATACAGCTGAAAAGTACCAACTTAGGTTTCTAGCCTCGGCCCTCGCCTTTAATCTCGCCAATTTGCTTGTCTTTACACCTATGACGATTGAGGTAACTTGCCCTGCTCCCAACCCCTATTCAAGGCTTTTACCTGATGTGCATGTGATTGACATTTGTGTCGATGTTCTTGAGTTACCTGCATCGTTCTCCTTTTTCTTATTAAATAATTATGAATTTCCTACTATTATGTTATTTGATAGAATTTGCGAGACGTCATATTTGCTTTAGTAGTTAGCTTAACTTCATATATGTATATTACTTTTTGGAACAAGAGAACAAGATGGTTGTATAAGATCTGTTCAGTGGAGATCTGTGATTTTAATCTACGATTCTACATTTTTTTTCCATTTTTTGGCCAGTGAGGTTCTAGATGACTTGTTTTGTACCTCTTTTTGCGAATTGTACACATAAAACCTGCTTAGAAGTTAGGAGTTTTATGTTAATTAAATCAACCTTCTTCATTTTCTTCTGCTCAGAAGATGGTTTTTGAGTTCTCTTGGTTTCTCAATTAAAGTTTCGTAGATCTAGTGCTATGACTTATATGCTATTTTCTTTTTTTATTTTCATGGTGTAGATGATGAAGCAAAAGCACAAGGTGGAGAGAGAAGAGAACATTGGAGAGGAAATTGGGTGGTCAAAGGTTAGGGAAGTTGTGAAGGCGAATCCAAAGCTTGCAGCCATAAACAAGAAGTTTGGAATGATCCATGGCTTATCTTCTCTTGCTAATATCATGGCCTTTGGCAGTCTTGCAATGCACTCATGGTACTTAGCAGGTAAACTCAATCTGTAATTGGA